CTTCTATCTATTCTTTCTTGAGCTTGAACTGCCTCGGAATATTCTGCAAACCATAGACAACTAGTCACAGCTATTCAATCGCATTAGGGGAATATTTCCCTCGTCTGGGGGCTAGTCAACCTCATTAAGGGACTAGCTACTTCTGGTTTAAGTGGATTGTGCATGAATAGGATGTTGTGGCATATATCTGCCTGTTTAAACCTATTAGAGATCGACTATTTCAGGCTGGTAGGTTCAATCCTTCAAGGTACCGTTCCTAAGTCCTGTATTTCGACTCTATATTTTCATTCATTGCACAGGATCCTAGCTATCTGCTCGAAGTCTCAGCAATAGCTCTTGTATTCAAGTGGATTTAGATTCTGGTATGTATATATTTCATACAAAATCGCAAAATCTAAGGGTAGACACACAACATGCGTATCAACGGTCTCCATTATTGGACTTCGGTGAAACGACTGCAGGAAGCACAAAGATGACACAGTGACATCCATTGTTCTATCAGGCATCCGGAGAGAAAGGCTCAAGACCAAAATATCGACTTCGCAATATCGAGATATCAGAGACATTGGCGGAGATCCGCGAATTGACGTGTTACTTCTTAATCGTGGTCACGTTTCGCCTTTACTGAGTCATTTCCGTTGATTGTTATCACGCTGAGGATATCTTGAAAAATACCAACAACGCTTGGCCCTCCCACAGAGTAGACCTTCTCCCGTCCGGCAGCCGGGTATTCAATCATGTCGGGTAGGCTGAGGGCCCCCCCCCCTCACTGTCAACAAAAACAACCTGAGGTGGCAAGTCAACAGTAAAGGAAACATAGCAATGAAATTGGTGTTACTGACTGAACACTGGAGTTTTGACCGAAGTCAATACGAATAGGATGGCGCGAGACGTAAGGAACGCAGGTGCGCTACACAATCCATGGATTCTGCCCGATTTACAGTTTCCTATTCCTTCGTATGTACATCATCCGTAGCAGCTGGACGCAGGCTGCACAGAAGGACACAATGCACCCATTTGTTATAATGGTCGGACCTGTTCGATGCCCCGGTGCCTCGTTAGGCTTATATAAAAAGATTGCTGAGACATGGTGAGTACCTGTGTGGACGAGAAGCAACGGATAGCCTACCAATTACCCCCGCCAACTATTGTGACTGGCGAACTCATCGCAACAGCCAATGTCGTCGCATTCGTATCTCGTAGATTGCCGGTGAGCGAAACAGGCATGTTGCTAAACATGATTCCAAAGCAAAGCGGCGCGTAGTGCGATTTAAAAGTCGTTGGCGCGAGTATACCTACAATTTCGGCTGGATTGGTCTGATTCAAAGACCCACGAAGGCATAACCTACCCTGAACAATGTAATCCGCACATGCTGTGATATATGATAACCAGACAACGCATCGACCACACCTGATACCTGTCCACCATCCCCGACATTCCAGGTGTAGCCTCAAATGAGGCTGCAGAGGTGGTTATGGCGATTATCTGTGCATCCGTCTCTGTTATCCGAGCCCATTGATGATTTCCAGCACGAAAAGTATAGACTGATGGGCGGGATGCATGAATCCATGCTCAACAAATAATGCAAATCAAGCCGCCCATCTTTCAAAGTCGAATTGGCACCGTCCCACGTTATCTTAACAGTCACTGCACGAAGAGACCTAGACGACTCCTGCTTCATGCGACGGACGGCGAGAACACAGTCATCGAGTGACAACCACGACGATGTCTCAGGAAAGGATAACAGGAAGGGGAACACGAGCACCGCCAGAAAGTACGACGACACGCTTTCAGCGCGGAACAGCCATCGAACCCAGAAAGCACAGTTGTCAGGGTCGGAAGATGCCACTGCAACGGCGTAAAACTGGTGGGTGGACATATTCAATACGTGGAGGAAAGACAATAGGCTAGTAATTGAATATCTGAGAGAGGTGGGCACAGGTTTTCCAGAGAGTGAACGCTAAAGCAAAACTTGAAGTTAGAAGGACGCGAAGGACGAGCTGCCAGAGCAACCTGGTAACACAAACATACGTCTCGTACCTCATCACTGCAACAACATTTATAACATCGTCGTTGTCATCGATAGTGATTTTCGGCGTTACAGTTCTCCTTGCTAGCAGCCATGACCGGAGTGGCGAATGGACGATGAAGTGCTAGCGGGAGTCATAGTGGGGGGATAGAGAGCGAGAAAAGATCTCGTCGCAACGTGCGTTGGTCTTTATACAATCTTTCCATGGAAATTTTGCTGGACGTTGACAGTTGGGGGTCAAGAATCGTCAAATGTCGAGGCAAGTGACACCCCCCCGCGAGAGTCATAATTGGCCATGGACTTGCGAAGCTCAGCCTGTTTTCGGCAATTGCCGGCGTAGGGAATTAAAATTTTTTTCGGATGCAATGTACAGGATCGACGCATGAAGCCTTTCAGAGTCGTTTATACATGAAAGCAACGCAGTCGGTCTTCAAAACATAAATTTCCAATAGAACTGAAGGAGGCTGTCTGAGGGAATATGTCCAGAGCATCTATGCACCTACGAGATAGCAGATGTGCGATTATTTTCTCATTTGCTCTGAAATTTGGTGTTATCAGTACTGTTTCCTTTGACCAGCACTATACGCTTATGCTTACTCTGCATGCACCAATTTCCGCAAAGAAGTATATGGTTGCATATCGGTGGACATTTAGGACGTGCCTACGCCAATAGAATGTCATTGAACTGGTCGAATGAGTCCGTGAAACCCTCGTGATTATGCGACAGGTGCCCTTCCGTTGTAACCAGGATTCCTTCATCATTCTGCTAGCCGGATATTGTCACTCAGGTGATATCGTTGACGGTATGTACGACAACAAGCAATAGCATGGATACAGTCTTCAGAGACTGCGAAGGCTCTTCATCGATGGTGACAAAAGCCTCTCTCGAAGGCGACGATGTACTCCCAGAATTAGCTTATAGACGATAGTGGGCGACGCCAGGTGTCCGAGAAGCTATCTTTAGGCACCTACGATAAACAGATCATCAGGAACTGGGCATAGAGAAACAGGTTCATGAACATACCAAAGCCCTCCCAGACGGCTAATGACGCTGTTGACAGACATCAAAACTCAGAAGAAGCACATCATGAAATCCGAATCCATCGAGGTGAGTCACCGCGAAAACATTAGCTTCCTTATGGCGTACGTTGAATTCGTATCCAAAACGCATTGGTTGACGAGAGTGTGTGCAGGGTAAGCTCCGTAAAGGTTGTCGTCAAAGCAGTCAAATGATGTGGTATGGCGGTAGGCTCAAGGTTCTAGGTAGAACCCTTGGAGAACTATTCGTCGTTGTCGCTGGGACATTTCGATCAAGATTGCGGCAAGAATATACTCAGGATCGACCTTGTGAGGACTCGCCACTACCAACATGGAGACAATCAGCGCGCGCTTGGACACTAAAGGCAATGAACCTTGTCTTGAATGGTGGCATCGGGCACGGCGGCATGTTGACCAAAGGGAAACAGAGCATATGCTCGCGCCAAAAAAGAGGAGATACTTCGCCGCTGAAGTGTCTTCTAGGCGCTCGACTCTCCAGCCCACGGCAATGGGAATCCGACAGTGATGGGCCACAGCTGCAACCCTCACGCACGTCGAACCGTACACTAAACCGCCCTACGAGTCACGTGAGACGATCATCACATAGGCTCCGTTTACTCACTGTACTGAATTCGCGATCGCACCCATCCGATCTATCTTGCAATCAAGGATGCAGCTTCTGGCTATCAGGATGACGCTTCCCAGAGAAGATATCGACGACCGCAACGATCCCTCCTGGTTCTCTATGTCACTTCGAATGCAGCTTCGATGCGTGGAAAGATAATGAACCTGTTTTAGTTTTGACAGCTACCGCCAATCACAACAACATCAGCGGTCACTGTGACGATACAATCGATTGATTTCTTCATTGAGAAAAAGTAACACGTTAGATATGGAAGCACGCACCCTAGCCCACCGTTATCCAAGACATGGTGATAGGACGATTGCAATTTTGCCATTCCCTTGCCATTGGCGACCGGCTACCACTTCTATCACAATTGGATCATGTCCTTACGCGTCCCCTTCAATACGCCAGAATAAGCATCGGTCAGATCCATGACGACCCAAGAGAAAGCCACTGTCAGGCGACATAAAGACAGATATTCGCAGGAAGTGCCAATACACACAAGGTGAACATAGAGATACACGGTAAGAAAATCTCTTGGCGATGTAGCAGGCAGGTCTAATGGAGGATCGTTATCAACATTGATGCCGTGGTGGCTGAAGACAAGAATTGTCACTGTCACTGTGACATGCCGACCACCCGCAATTCCAGTACTCGTTGACTCATGCCAGGCCGAACACTATTATCTTTTTACAGGTTGACATCACCGGTCGGCGGTTTTTATACAGAGACGATAGCATAGGCCACAGGTCAGCCTCATATTTCCTGATGAGATAATCGGTTCCAACTTCTGTAAATTGTCCAGCTATCAACCAGCTAAATGCTACACGCTCATCGCTCGAGTTAACCTACCCTCGCTAGAGTGGTTTCAATGGAGGTAATTTGTCTGTCATGCGATGACATATATATGGCCATATAATGTTATATTCAACTCTACTGTATTCATATTTATTTACAGTGTAATTTGTAAGGGATAGTAAATTTCGACAAATAGTACTGGAAAGATGCGTAAAGATAGTACATGTGTCGCGCTGCGCTTGCAAAAATTTCCAAGCATCTCCATCTTCGTGACAATGCACGGCATAGAGCAAGAAAACAATGAATTACCACCACCGTATCAAAATACCCCACGCCTAGGCGTCACTGATTATATATAAGTGTATACACTCTATGGGATCCTCGCCGTGGGTATCATGTCTTGGAAACGCTCTCTTTTTACTTCGCAAGCAAGACTTGCGCACAATCAGCCCAAGTTCGGTCGCCAACGTAAGACAATTGTCGCAAAAAAGGAAAGTCAGAAAATGTAATACCGACGACGAGGATCGAACTCGCAACCTTCGCCTACACTACAACTTAGGAAAGCGACGCGCTACCATCGCGCTACGACGGCTCCAATACGGCCTCTTTTTTGGCTAGTCTATAGCATATCAGGATGATCGGTTCCTTGCTACCGCCACACGCCAGTCACTTGTCCCGGACTTTTCGCTTCATATTTTCTCATATCATAAATTCCCAAATCTCCTCACAAAATCTCGTACCTCCCATAATCATTGATCATAGATGACATTGTGCTTTGCCCTTTGTTTGTCGTAGTGTACAAGGGTCGAACACGCGGCATTCCGAGTCTTGGTGGCTTTTGATCTCCAATATTGGGGAACCGCGACTGGCTCGTGGATTATTGATGCTCGGCATAAATGCTACGAAAGGCTCTACACTGGACACAAAGAGAATGGCTGTCGTCACACGGTTCCCTGCACCCAGTTTTTTCACTTCTAAAAACACTTCGGAAAATTCAATTGGTGAATCTATCGAGTAGACTTTGGGCTTTTAGAACCATTGCTGAGCTGACAGGCCTCAGTGATACCCGAGCATTCTCCGAGGTGTAGGAGGGCAAAGCGTCCAAGGAAGCGATTATCAGTTGTGCGCTTTGCGATATCGGGTCTGCCCGGTGAGACAGCATATCGCAGACAGGCCATTCTGCCCTACGCAGCCCGGCCAGTGCTGTCAGAAGTGAATCGACTCGCCTCCATACAACGGTGACGCTGCGGCTTCAGGATTAGATTTAGGCTGCTGACAGAACTTTCTTCTAGCTGGTGCTGTCAGCCATCCATTTATAAATTTATGACACGAACTTTGTCCGAAAAGTTTCGACCTTTTGCCTAATGCTTTGACATCGACACAGAGCTCGCGGGCCCCCTTCTAGTGTGACCCGAATTACCAAAGTCGATCAATCTCCCAGAATGAAATGCGGGGACTCTTATTCTCAATTGTTGGTTCATTCAAGGTCCGCTGTTAATGCATTCAATCCCATCATGAGCCATCAATTGTAGCTTCCTTCTGTCACATCTCACACCAAGATCGTCTCTACTACCAACGAGGTATCAACTCTCCAAAACAGCGCCCAAAATACCATCGTTACGGGACACGATATGATTGAATCCAGCCACCCTTTCTGAACAAAGCGCACCTTCAAGAGTATTCTCCATCTCCTCCTTCACGACCGGGCGTCTAACGGATAACTTTCATCACAGGTCAGGTCGTGTGAAAGTGATTTCAGTCGCTGATGATTCCCATGCGATTCGTTGACCGCAAATCTCGGATGGCAGTTACGGAGGGTCAGCGGCGATAGCGCATGCGGCCAGTCCATCTGCCTCTGTTGCATTCTCTCACAAAAGTTTAAGTAGATTTGCCTTCCTCTGAGGAATGGTTCTTCGCCCGTGTCGTTCGCAATTCACTCACAGCAGAGATGAAAAGATTCTACGTTGCTCTCATACTCTAAGGTATACCCGACACTGATCGGACCGGAACATTGAGTCGTTTCATGTTCTAGCGCTTAGAGCTCCCTTGTTCTTCTGGCCAAGAACAACCTTCCGGGGTAAGTTGCGATACTCAGCGACCCTGTATTGTTCTCAAGGAATACAAGGACCTTCACTACGCCCATCAATGCTGTTCTCCTGGGCCCACTGAGTCACGTCATGGCCAAAGGGATCCGCGCTCCCATAACTTCAAAGATCAAGCTCCCTCTGCATCTGATCATTCGACTTTTGTTCTCCCATCCCTTCTCATGCATCCTTTATTCTTATACATTACTTTGTTTTCTTCTGTTCTCTCATCCCACGGCGAGCCGCGCAATGTCACTATCGACGACACAGATCCTATGATTACATATACTGGAAACTGGAATGCGAGCCATCATACTTCTGTAGCCTTCAACGGTAGCCACGCGGTTAGCACCGATCCTTTTGCTTTGGCAACGCTCACCTTCACATGTAATATCGTCTTCCGTGCTACGAACGTTTCCTGACGCCATAGTTCTGTCAGGTACAGCGGTGTATTTCCTCTCTCCCCGATGGTCGTACCCAACGAACTCCACCGTCACCCTTGATGGTGAAGGTGCAACATTTGTGGACCTCACATATCCTGGGGGGCAGAGCGCTAGCCCCCGCGGTGGTCCAGAACCGGAGAAGTACGCAGTTCACTGGTCAAGGACTGGATTGGAAAATAAAAGACATAAGGTTGTCGTGTCTATGGCTGCTGCAGGGCAGTGGACTATTGTCGACGGGTTCATGTGAGCAGACTTCCGCTTTATATCGTGTTTGGAGCTGACGATCCTAACAGATTTACAGTTAATGACGACACCAATAGTACGGCGAGCATGGAGAGTTCGACTTTACTGCCTACCGGTTCTAGTAGCCTCGTCGATCAGGCATCTTCTACTTCAGTTTCTGCTTCTGCGACTACAGCTGCCCGGAGTTCCATTAACGGTGCTAGTGGCGGTGCCAACATTCTCACCATCGGGCTGGGGGTCTCTTTCGGTGTTTTGGGCACACTTGGATGCATCGCCGTTTGTTTGTTATGCCGCAGACGCCGGCTTCATTGCCATACACAGATATCTCCACCGTTGACGTCGGCCCCAATCTTGTATGAGTGCCTGCCCCAAGCCAACCCTTCATCTCATCCTGCCACTCCCCTTTTCGTAGCTAACCCAGATCCTAGCAGTGGGGGCTCCGTGATCGGCAGGTATATCCTGGAGAAGAGTGTACAACGCAGGGTCATTCTGGAAGATGTGATGGTGCCCCCCCCTGCGTATTCTGCCTAATGTCCCCCTGTTCGAAATATCTGTTATTCGGGGATATAGGCATGGCTATTCTTTGGTGTTATCGTTTCCGCGCATGTATTCCTATTACACGGTCTCCTTGACTGGGCAGAGATACCCGGTATTTTTTACAGAGTTCTGTAGTTCGGACAGTGTCATTATATTGTATCAAGGGACATAGTGGAGAGCCGTCGACTTAGTTTCTTGCGCATTATATTTAAAAGAGCATGATGGCTCTGCCCCAGTGAAGACAGTTTATTGTGTAGTGTGGTATTGGACGGTGTAGCGGTTGAGGATCAGTCACTATTTTTTGGTCCTAGGCGCTGTTTCCATCTTGGGAAACACTTTCGTGTTTCATATCTAGTCAAGCACATACATACGAGGAGGCTGTTATGGGTCAATACCTGCAAGGAAAATGCCGAAGTATCCTTTCAGAGAAATCTCCTTTCGCAGGGCGGATCATGAATATTCAGCGATAGAAATGGTCCCGGATTCTGTAAAGGAGTAACGACATATCACAAGAGCCATCATCCTCATTTCTGTTTTCGTACGGTATGTGGTGGGCAAGCGGCGTGTGTACCGGTGCCAAAAGTGATCTCTCCCGGGACAGCCGATACATCCGGCGCCAGCAGCGGCAAGCTGACATCTTGGTTCTTATTCAACGCCCAACTCTTTCAGCCGAGCTTCTGATTACCTACGGCTTGACATCGACATTTCCTCCACTTGGGCTGGCGCAATACCTGTCTCAATGATTCCCTCCCTCTTTTTCGTCAGTTTTCTCTTCGGGTGGCTCGAGATCTAACTTTCAAGTTTTCCCTTGGGGATACAAGCAGGGCGAAGGAGAAAATTGCACTGAGGACTCAAAGAACCTCGAAACGTGACCAAAATTTTACGTGCCCGAAGCGTGTCCCCTCGGGGTCGGTGTAGAGAATGCCCATCAAGATCAGATTCGGACGGTAGATCACCAACCGGCTTTCTACTGTCGATTTTCTCTTCGAACGGCAGAGATCTAAGTGCGGTACGCGTAATGAATATTATGGCATGCTCAATTGAATCACGCAAAGACACATAGTGGGATATGTATCTTCCTGAGTGGTCAGCGTCCTAAAAATTTCAGGTTGACCCTAGTGGTTTGATCGTGGCTTTACCAAGAAAAGATTTTTTTAACCTTTCTTGAAGATCATTCAGCGAAGACAAAAGGAATGAAGCACCATAATCTCCTGCACCGTGTTCTTTTCCCTTCGTATTTTGAATCTTCATGGCTGAATCAGGTCTGAAGGATTGATGGCACGGTAGTCATCCTGACATGCGCCCAACAACGCCTGGATACCAACACTGTCGACTCTGTTCCAATCTCAAACATCTTCTACCATCATATTATATGTTGGTCGTCTGTCCACTCCAGAGAATACAAGGTCGCAGAGGGAAACGATGGCTCACTGACGGCGACCATTGCTTATTTACCGTCAGTGGTCCTTGATCAGTCCGGTACATTGAATTAACTTTGGACCACGTGGCAGTGCCTACCTTGAGGCTGTCAACAGAAGCACGAAGCAGGGTCGTAGCCTCTCTGTTCTTTCGATATTATGTCCAAATCTGACTGATGAGCTATAGGCGGAGGCCCTTGTTGCTTCGCACTTTTTTCTCTCCTTCCTACCACCACCTTCCTCTCGAACACCTTTCCATCCCATGTCGCTGCATACGAGCATCCCGCTGACCGCTGAGCTCAGTCCACATTCGTATTCACCCAGCCGCCCAAAAAGCGGGTCTCTCTCACCTTCGCACATTTGTCTGGATGATGGACTATCTCATTGGCTTCCACCGCCGGCAAACATTACGCAGGGAGGCTACGGGCTGAGCTGTGATGCAGGGCCATTCTTGATGCAAGGTGGAATTACAGACGCGACCTCCACCCATCACGGCGCGTACACCGTTGCGTCATCCCCAATAAGCATGAATTTTGACCCCGATACGACGCCGTATACACGAAGACCCTTACAACTGACGACGGTATGTTTCCTGGTCTCTTAGCATGTGTCTTTTTCCTAATATTTCCATAGGACTCGCACTTTCATCCTCAAATTCCCTTGACTGCAACTGCTGCCGCCGGATTTGCTGGTCTTTCACACCATACCGAGTACACCATGGGCGGGAATTACGTTTCTCATCGTGAAGACAGCGTACGCGGATCGTGGCAGAATCACGACATCATACCGGCACCGACCCTCGTCCATGAGTACCCTTCTTATGGGGTCTCCAGCTATCGTCTTGGGGATCCAACTGGCCGGTCATCC